TGCAGAGTGCTTTTCCTGGAGCCCATCAGCTCTGGCGGGAGAGAGGCCGAAGCAGGCAGGCACTCTGTACGCTGCTGTGGCTCAGCTGGCACCTTCCGGCAGAGCGGAGCTGCGCAAGGGAGAGGGGCTGCCCATGCGGGGGGCTTGTTGTGGGGGGGGGACGGCCATCCCGCTCACCCATCCGCCCTCTCTTTGCAGTGCGGGATGCCCTCTTTGTGTCTCGGGCGCTGCAGAAAGTGAAGATTGACGTGAGTGAGAGTGGCACCGAGGCCTCTTCTGCCACAGGTGGGTGCCCTGGGTCACTGCAGCGGCCCTTCTCTCTCTGCAGGTCTTGCCAGCAAACACACACCTACACACCTACACACACACACACACACACACACTTTGCAGCTTCCTAACATGCACCGGGGTTGGTTTTGCTCCGAAGTGGGTCACCCCCTCAGGAGGAGGTGAGGGGCCGGGGACGGCAGGCTGTGGGGGGGGCTGCTGCTCACTGAGCCAGTCAAATCGGCTGCTGAATGAGCCCCCCCCCCCCCCCCCCCCTCCCCCCCTTCCAGCTGCCATCGTCTATTCCCGCATGGCACCCTTGGAGATCGTGCTGGACCGGCCTTTCCTGTTTGTTGTGCGGCACAACCCAACCGGTAAGGCCCACCAAGGACCCTTCCTCCCGCCAAAGGCTCGGCAGGCTGCCCCAAAGGGGGGTGCAGGAGCCCAGGGAAAAATCCACTCCCCCCCCCTGCAAATAAAGGGGGCCTTCACTTGGAGCAGGACCGCCCCCCCCTCCCCAGTGCCAGGCCTGGCTTGGCTGCCAGTGTGCCAGCCAGAGTTCCCAATGCCGAGGGAGGGAAACTCCGTTCTTGGTTCGGTCCAAGTGCCCCACGAGCTGGAGGCGACCGAGGAAGGGACGGGGGCGGCTCGGCTTTGCCCCACCCTCCTGTAGCCACTTCCTTCCTCCCCACAGGTACCATCCTCTTCATGGGGCAGGTGATGGAGCCCTGAGGGCCCCTCTGGAGCCAAGGGGGCCCAGGGAGCCTCCGTGTGCCAGCGGGATCAACGCCCACCGGTCCCTTCGTGGAAGCTGCTGCTGGGCCTGGTCCCTTGCCTGCCACCCCACGTCACCCCTGGCACCGAGGGCACCCGGCGAGTCGCCACACCTGGGCCAAAGGAGCTCCAGGCAGCAGGGGGGTCTCCCAAGGAAGGCCTGGACCCAGGAGGAGAGCGGGGGGCCAGTCCTGCCCCTCTGCCCCTCCCGGAAGAGGAGTCTGAACTAAGCACTTTGGGACTAAGAAGAGAAACTTAATATATGCAGAGATTTGGTCTTATTTTTGCACATAAAATGCATTTTTGCACATAAAAACAGATCTTTGGTCTTATTTTTGCACATAAAAGGCGCTGCGACGGCCACCCGACCGACTCGCCTGCTTCTTTGCGGCCCTTGGGAGCGACGGGGGGGGCGGGCGGGAGGCGGGGGGGGGGGGCCAGGCCGGGCCCCGCCTCTCCCGGGCTCTGGGGCGGGGCGGCCAGGAAGGGGGGGATCCCGTTGACGTCACGGCAGGGCGTCTCCCGCGTCTCCTGGCAACCGCCCGGGTCCCGGAAGTGCCCGCCGCGAGCATGCGCGGCCGGAGGCACCTGGGCAGGTTAAGGGCGGAGAGGAAGCGGCTGCCGGGCCCGCCTGGGACGCCCCGCCGCCGCCGCCGCCGCCGCCATGGTGAGCAGGGCCCCGGGGGGATCGGGCGCGCCGCCGGGGCAGGAGCGGCCCGGGGAGGCCCGCGTGGCTTCTCCGGGCGGGCGGGGACTCTGGGCGGCAGGGCGAGGCGAGGCGGCCCCGGGGAAGGCCGAGGCAGCGCGGGCTCTGGCGGGCAGGATCCCCGCCCCCCAACCCCCCCCCCGAGAACCGCGCCCGGCGTGGAGGCGGCGCAGCAGCAGCAGCAGCAGCGCGGGGGGGGCCCGGCGGGGGCCTCGGTGGCGGCGTTTCTGCTCGTCTCCCGCGGCCGCCCGGCCCGGTTCCTCCCCGCGCCCCGTCCCCCCCGCTGCCCGGCCTCCCTGGGCCGTTGCCGGGCACGGAGAGGGGCGCCCTGGCTCCGTCCCCGCTCAGCCGCCGCCCCTCCCCGGTGTGCCCCGCAGATGCGCTTCATGCTGCTCTTCAGCCGGCAAGGGAAGCTCCGCCTGCAGAAGTGGTACCTGGCCACCTCGGACAAGGACAAGAAGAAGACGGTCCGGGAGCTGATGCAGGTGGTGCTGGGCCGCAAGCCCAAGATGTGCAGCTTCCTGGAGTGGCGGGACCTGAAGGTGGTCTACAAGAGGTGTGACCGCCTCCCCCTGCGCCCCTCCCCCTGCGCCCCCTCCTCTGGGGGGGGACGGCCGGCCCCTCCTTGGCTGCCTCTGCACCCCTGGCCTCCTTTCCGGGGAGGAGGAGGGGGCAGGAAGAGCTCCCCCAAGGGGGCCTCCTCCTGCTCCTCGCCTGGGCCTTGAGCCAGAAGCAGCCTGGTTCTTGGGGGAACAGGGGCGCCCCCCCCCCGGGACCCCTCTCCCCCCCCCTCCCGGGCCAGCAGGCCCCCTTGCCGGAGGGAGCCAAGGGACACCTTGCCACATCCCGTGCCTCCTTGCTCCTTCCCTCCCCGAGGGCCGAGCCCTACCTGCTCCCCTCCCATTGGGGGGGTCTCGGGGCAGCCAGGGCTCTTGCCTTGGGCCTCCCGTGTCCCCCCACAGCGGCTGGGCTGAAGGGGCAAGGGGGCGGCCCGGCTTCCCCAGCCCAGTCTCCTCCTGGTCTTTCCGGGCTGCTCTGGACGGGCCAGTTTCTCTGCTCCGCTCCGTTGGGGGGGTGGGCTGCACCCCCAAAGGTCAACCGGTCTGGAGAGGAGAAGACGTTGAAGTGCCTAAGCAGCTCCGGCTAATGAGAGCGCAGGGCTTTCTTGGTGGTCCTCCATCCCTCCCCCCTCCCTAAGGGGTTTGATGTTTCCCCAGGAGGGGGAGTGCCTGCCGTGGGGCAAGGGACTCAGGGCCCCTCCTTCCTCTCTCTCTGGCCCAGGTATGCCAGCTTGTACTTCTGCTGTGCCATCGAGGGGCAGGACAACGAGCTGATCACGCTGGAACTCATCCACCGATACGTGGAGCTGCTGGACAAATATTTTGGCAGCGTGAGTCCACAGCTGGGGTTGTGGCAGCCCCCCTTCTTGCTCCCAGCCCCCTGGTGCCCCTCCCCTTTGTAGCCTCTGGACCGTGGCCGTTGCTGGGCCTGCATTGCCTCCAAGCCCGGAATTGGGCGGGGGGGGGCACTTCTCTTTCCCCACAGACCGCTAGCTGCCTTGTGCCCCTGCTCCTCCCCAGGTGTGTGAACTGGACATCATCTTCAACTTCGAGAAGGCCTACTTCATCCTGGACGAGTTCCTCATGGGGGGCGAAGTGCAGGACACCTCCAAGAAGAG